CCAATGCTTTACTGGTCAAAGTCAGACAGCTCAGCAGTCAACAACACAGGTATGTTTAAACAAGCTAACAGGCCAAGATCTATCTCTAAGAAGTAAGTTCTTTAATGACCTTTTTTTTTTATCCATACAGTTCAGGAATCACCTGGAGAAGGCATTAGATGGTCTATTATGAGTTTGAATGGAATATTGTACAAAGATTCTGGGAACTACAGCTGCAATGCTAAGAACTTTGCTGGAAGTGCCGAGGCAACCATTTCTCTCTCGGTTGTTGGCACCATCAGTACCACAACAGCCACAGTAGAACAAGAGCTTGGCACTGGACTAACTGGCCAAAGCACCGCAGTAACTCCCACTGTGACTTCTGTATATCCCGTTGAAACAGCCACTGTTCTTTCAAAAACATTGACAACAGAAACTACAATTCCTCAGAAGACAAAACCAACTTTGAGCAATGGTTCACAGAAAGGCCCCATCAAGCAAAGCAAACCTCAAAAAGGAGACAACGGGCGAAAACTCGCAGCAGATGAAAAAAGCAAAAAAAGTGGTTCATCAAAGTCTATTAAAGACCTAGCAATTGTAGAAGAAACATGCGAGAGTGCAGTGTTGCTCTGGACGGCAGATGGGTTGCCAAACGATGCTCCACTTACAGTAGTATATTCACCGTACGGTGAAGACGACACCAAAAGGACAGAGGAAACAAAGGCTGGTAGTGGAAAACTTCTTTTAGAAGGACTGTCTGCTGGTATGAGATACTCTGTTTGTCTCATAGCAAAAGGCAGTGATGCTGGAAAAGATCCCTGCATTGACTTCTACACACTTGACGATGCCGATGACAGTGGGCAAAGCCAGTTTTTTTTAATTATAGGTGGAATTGCCTGTGTTTTGATTGTGCCACTCATTGGTTTCTTGCTCTACAAGATTCTTGCACTGTATTGCAAAGGGCAAAACACACCTCTGAATGAGGACGAGCTTGGAAAAGAGAGCTATGTCAAGTTCGAGACAATTTCAATGAAACAAAGAACTTTGAACCCTCGGGCAACCGAGCTATGGACAAGACGGCCTACATATGATTCTGAGCGGCTGCTGCTTTGCTCTAGGTCTAGCATTGACTCTCAGATGACCTATAAGAGTGACAGTTCCAGGTGTGAGTATCTGTGCTGATGTCAGAAGTCCAAGGCCAACAACCAAATGCCACATTAGAAAAACATAAAGAAATCTGAATGCCTTGTCTAACAGCAAAAACACAACATATTAACTATGAAGTCCTTGGTAAATTTAATATGGTTCATTTATTTTTTTATATCTCAGACTCCTAAATTCTATCAGGCAGTGGTCTTGTTCTTGGTTTTGAAGCCTTATATTTGTACTAGAGAAAAACTTGTCCAACTAAGCACCTTTGTTGGACAAGTGAGATACAAACACATTGTATGAACAGTGTTTGATAATCAATGTTATCTCATTGCCAAAGTATCATGTGGTCCATCTAAAAATGGAAACAAGATTCATATTTGTAACATTTTTGGAAAACATTAGATCAAATTAGAATTTTATTTGTAAATTACATGGATCAGTCCACTTTTTCTATGCTCTACAGACATGGCACTGCTTTTGTCCCTACCATGATGTTACAACAATTATTGTCGCTTGTAACGTCAGCCTGACTGTTGCCTTACGGAAGAGGAAAAAATAACTGTTGGTGTGTTCATGGTAAAATGTAAAATTTTATAAGGTGTGTATTTTGTATGTAAATAAGTTGTATTTTTTTATAGAACATTAACAAAAAACTGTGGAATTCTGTTTCTGTTTCTGTCCATGCAAGTTACTCAAGGATCATTCCCACAGTTAAAAGTCATGCAGGTTAAGGATTAGTTTAATTGGACAATCTCAACTGACCTTTGATTTGACAGAGTGTGGATTGTTGTCTCTATATATAGCCTTGTTACTGACTACCGGCTTTCTAGAATGTACTGTATGTACGCTTTTCTGACAACATACAAAAGGCATCTTGTTACATTTAACTTTGGCAGTAAAATAGTGGGTGCAGCTAACAATCAGACATAGAGATAGCTTTAATACTGGTATCTTTTGTTGTTTAATGTATTTAATGTTAAAGTTTTTCATTTTGGTAGACTGACATGTCAGTTAGGTTCGCCCTGAAAAACCAAAGGTAACTTACTCTACCCAAGGAAATTCGATAAATTAATCAATAAGAGGAACCAGGAAGTTTATTTTCCAAAAGTAGCAAAAAGTCTGTTTTTGTATGACCCTGCGATAGACAGGCGAACTGTCCAGGGTGGACCTCACTCTCCCTGGTTTACAGCTACAGCTAAGATTGGCTCCACCCTCCTCCCCAGACCACAGCAAAGGAAAGTGTGGAAAATGGATGGATATGTGGATCTGGTAGTCAATGCTTACAAAAGAGCATACAATGTAGAGAAACAGTTAAAGTGTTAAAGAATCTCTATCATGTTGTATAAATGTTTGCCAATAACAACAATAAGCCAGAAAATAACAACAATTGTCCTTAGTCGTAGTTTGCAGCCACTTATACCAACCAACGTCCTCAAAGCGATGTACATAGCTGGCATTAGAAAAACAGTGACATTTGTTGACATTTAAGAGGTGCTGTACAATAATGTCAGTTGCCACTGATTCAAATCCATCTGTCACTGTTCTTCCGTGTGATTGTCAGCCTAAGTGAAATAACAGATACTATTTTCATTCGTGACACATCATGGGAAAAGGTCAGTGCCCTTCAGGCAGCAGACAAGAGTCTGGGACAAGGCAACTTTCTCAGCCTTGTAAATCTTCTCCTCCCGATTCATGGTGACGTTGCTGCTGACAATATCCCAGTCATTAAGAGTATGAATAGAGGTTTTGACCACCGCTGTCTGTCATTTGTTCTCCTCGTAGAAAGAGGAAAACAATCCAGAGATAATTGTCTCTGTCCACGTCCATGTCATTTCCAAAAAAAATGACTAATTTCACTAAATGGTTAACAAACAGACGTCAATAGGAAACAATCTCGTACACTGGCCTCCATTAACATATAATATGCATCCATTGTTGGCTTGATTTAAAAAATGTGCCTCTACTGTATGTTTAGGTCATGCATTCTGTTTTTCTCCCAAGAAACAATAATAAAAGAGTATGTCAGGAATGAGTACTGTCTAAAAAACATGGGTCAGTGGGTGGGGTCGGGCGGACTTCTGATTAAGAAGAAACCCATCTTCAGCCCAGCTTCATTTGCTGCATATTCCACATTCTCCTAGAGGCACCAGGAGCAACTTAAAGAAGATCTAGCTCCGACGCTGGACTAGCACTTGTAAAATTTACCACAGGGGTGTCAGGAATTTCAATCTTTGCTTCCAAAACAGACTGGAACCTTGGGGGCCACAGCAGGTAGTGAGCAGGATTCTGTGCTGAGGTTTTTTTAGGTTTTTTTGTTGTTGTTGTTTTTTTGTTTTTTTTTTTGTTTTTTTTTTTGTTTTTTTTTTTGTTTTTTTTTTTGTTTTTTTTTTTGTTTTTTTTTTTGTTTTTTTTTTTGTTTTTTTTTTTTGTCATAACAGCATCATCCTGTTCATCGCTCTTCCTTTAGTCTTTTAACAATTTACTGGAGTTTCATCTCCTGACTTTCAAAGCTGTTTGACGCCTTTAACAATGCTCCCATCAGTCTGTAAGGAGACTCTTTGTCTTAAGAAAACTTTGTGCAGCAGTTTTGTTGATGAAAATGCCTGAGATACAGTAAGCAAGTGCAGCTCACAGTGCAGGGGCAAGGCAGAGGATTATGTTGGCTGCCAGGATCACAGCAGCACTTATCTTTGTCATGGTGCAAGGCTCTGGAGCCATGGCCCCAGGAGCAGCTTGCTGGGATGAACGTCTGTCACACGAGGGAAAAAACAGCAGCTGCGTGGGTGAGTTTGACAACTTTACGGTACAGACTGACAACCCCAGTGTTAACCACTGGATTTTCTGTGTTAACTACTGGATGTCTCTTAGTTCTTAATCTGAAGCTAATGATGTTCAGACAAATAACTGAAAAAGGCTAAATATAATTGTGATATTTAAAATAGATCTTATTTCTAACAGGTCAAATCAACAGTAAGTAAATTCTAATCCTCAAAATAGTTGAGTAAATGTTGTCAAATCATCTATGTTTGTGTTATTTCCACAAAAACATAATATGAAGCTCATCAATAACAATTAACCCATATAAACAAAAATAATTTGTTTCAAAAACAGCTTATGTTGTTGTAAGACACGATGACTTATTCTCAAACCTTTCAATGTCCCTCGTTTTGGTGACTTTAAGAGTCTTAGAAGGCACCTTTAGGTAAAATGTATTAGTATTGTTAAGAAATACTTTCTGGCATCCAAGTGTAAAAGTTTACATGACTGCAACAGCAGCATGTGCCATAAAAGATAATTCACAACCACTGGCATTTCTCTTTCCGTTGTTCTTCTGGTCAGTGGATAAAAAGTGGTTGGCATTCCCCCAAAATGTTTTAATGAAATAAAGAAGCCAGTCATTCACTAATAACCCAAATACCAAATGAAATGTAATGTAAAATCTAATCATAGACTACATTTTAGTAAAACAATTTGCCTCACCAGCATTTCTGTAACAGCAGACTTCATGAGTCTTTCTAGATGATTGGGATTTTATAACATCAAACAACTTCTTCCTTTAGAAATCATGTTAGCATTGTCTTTTTTTTTTTTTAATGCAAACCACAGTCACCTAAAAATAGAGTGATTATTATTAATTTATATATAATACTAATAATAATTTATGTATGGTCATTTAAGGCCTTGTCAAACAGTGAATTTAATGAACAGCAACAATAACACGTTAAAATATAAATGAAAACAGTCAAATCTGTGTCCATGACTTACATCAGAAAAATACTCATTCATTGTTATAATAACACTGTGTATCTCATTAACATCCTGTGACCTGGACTTCGGAGGTTTAAAAGCATGTTGACCACCACATGAACTTATCCGTCAGTGATTCATCAGAGGGTTTCTTAGCAACTCAGCATCAATTCCCATATTAAGCAGCCAGGCCAAGACATTCTATTATGTTGTTTGTCTGCTGTGGCTGTCATTTTCTCCATTCCAGGGAGTTTGAAGGAGTAGCTATGGCTGTAGTAGAGTGCAGACCTTTTGTCAATAGCAGTTTAAAAAGCGAATGCATATGGATGTCACGTTCGGACCTGTGACTGTGGCTTACAAATCGGTGGAATTCTAGACAAGTAAACTTTTTGTGAACAATGTAAGACTTTCTAGTTAACATATCAGAAAAGGTACTAAAAATTAAAAAGGCCCTAATACTACAAGTTAATACTACATTGTATTGTATGACATATTCGGTCACTACAAGGTGCAGGGTGAATTAAAGATAAGAATAAAAACATATACAGC